GAACTAGATGATGCCTCGCACGTTGCTGCGGAATCTTGATAGAAGAAACACGTAAAAAGTTGATAGAAAAATAATGCCTCCATTCTAGAATATAAGGTGTATCGATGTTTGTGCAAGTCAAATTTCTGTATATTTGATGAAAATTGTAGAATATGATTTTGACATCTATAATATCGAAATCTGCAATATAACATCGCACCTGATGCATCTGGTGCGATGTAAACGTCGATCTATGGGCCCATCTGGTGCTGATCTTTGTGAGGCCCGCCCGGTGGCGGCTAACCACCTAGTAGGACCCACCTGGCGTAACTTCCATTGAGCCAGGACATCCCATGAGCACAAGGGCTATCGATGTTGGGATCTCGTGGGTCGTTGCTTGCGCATCTCGCGTGATGTGACGTTTGACGAGTCTCGTTCTTACTACCCACGTCCTTCTTCCTCGAGTCTCTCTGTGGACGACCTTTCTTTCCTTCTCCTTCCCGATACACCCTGCTATGTGCCTCCTGTGTCACCTCCTCCTCCGGAACCTCTCCTTCCTTCGCATTCACCACCGACCCCATCTTCTCCATCCTCCTCCTCCACCTCTCCACCATCATCTCCAGTCAGTCACCCTCTCTCACCGTTCCCTCTCCACTATACTCGTCGCCCTCATGCTGAGGATGTCTCCCCTGACGCGCCTTCCACCTCAGGTGCACCTCCCCTCACGCCTCCCCCGGTTCACAGCCTTCATGCTCGGCCTCGCCCCCCGCCTGATCGCTACTCCCCCGATCGGTACGGTCTCTCTGTTATTGCTGAGCCCACTTCCTATCGGACTGCCATGACTCAGCCTGAATGGCAGCTTGCGATGGCCGAAGAGCTTGCTGCCCTTGAGCGCTCTGGCACATGGGATCTGGTTCCCCTCCCTTCCGGTGTTCGTCCCATCACCTGCTAGTGGGTTTACAAGATTAAAACTCGCTCCTATGGTTCTCTTGAGCGTTACAAAGCTCGTCTTGTGGCCCGTGGTTTTCAGCAGGAGCAGGGACGCGATTATGATGAGACATTCACTCCTGTGGCCCACATAATCACTGTCCGTACTCTCCTTGCCGTGGCTTATGTTCGTCAGTGGTCTATCTCTCAGCTTGATGTCCAGAACGCCTTTCTCAATGGCGATTTGCGTGAGGAGGTTTATATGCAGCCACCACCGGGGTACTATGCTCCTGACGGTATGGTCTGTCGACTTCGCCGCTCCCTCTACGGTCTTAAACAGGCCCCTCGCGCTTGGTTTGAGCGCTTTGCCTCTGTGGTGACTGCCGCTGGTTTCTTGCCCAGTGATCATGAGCTCGTGTTGTTTGTTCACACGTCTCCTCGTGGTCGGACCATTCTCCTTCTGTATGTTGATGACATGATCAACACTGGTGACGACTCTGACTACATTGCCTTTGTTAAGGCTCGCCTTCACGACCAGTTCCTCATGACTGATCTTGGTCCTCTTCGCTATTTTCTTGGGATTGAGATCTCCTCGACCTCTGATGGCTTCTACATTTCCCAAGAAAAATATATTCAGGATCTTCTTGCTCGAGCTGCTCTCGGTGATGACCGCACTGTTGCGACTCCTATGGAGCTCAACGTTCAGCTTCGTGCCTGTGATGGTGATCATCTTCCTAATCCCACTCGCTATCGTCACCTTGTTGGCAGCCTTGTCTATCTTTCTGTTACGCGTCCTAACATCTCCTATCCTGTTCACATCCTGAGTCAGTTTGTTTCAGCCCCCAGCTCTGTCCACTATAGTCATCTCCTCTGTGTTCTACGATACCTTCATGGCACGATCTCTCAGCGCCTTTTCTTTCCTCGCTCCAGCTCACTTGTGCTCCAGGCCTACTCTGATGCTACCTGGGCTAGTGATCCCTCTGATCGACCCTCGCTGTCTGCTTACAGTGTTTTTCTTGATGGCTCTCTTATTGCCTGGAAAACAAAGAAACAGACTGCAGTTTCTCGCTCGAGTACAGAGGCTGAGTTGCGAGCCATGGCTATGCCGACGGCTGAGGTGATCTGGTTACGGTGGTTACTTGAGGATTTTGGTGTGTCTGCTACCACCTCGACTCCCTTACTGTCTGACAGTACCGGTGCTATCAGTATTGCGCGTGACCCAGTGAAGTATGAGCTCACCAACCACATCGGAGTGGATGCCCACTTTGTGCGTGCTGCTGTGCAGGATCAGACTCTCGCTCTTCACTATGTGCCCTCTGAGTTACAGTTGGCTGACTTCTTCATGAAGGCACAAACTCGAGCGCAACATAGTTTTCTTCTCTCCAAACTCAGTGTTGTTGATCCACCATGAGTTTGAGGGGGGGTGTTAGATGTGTATAAGTCCTTTTAGTACATCCCCATTGTATAAGGGGTCTTTCTGCACTTTACCACACATGTATATGTTTTGGCCTTTGGCCCTCAGTAAAGCTAGTTGCTGTTTATCCAACACAACACACGTTAACTCTTTTACAATACACTTTTCTATATACTTCGGACACATTTTCATATGATGTTTAACATTTCTGAAATATATGATTAATATATTTAAAACTTATATTTTTATGTCTATTTTTTATGCACACATAATACATTTTTAGCATGTTTCTAATACATTTCTGTGAGGGACTGTTTTGGACCCAACTGTTTAATGATATGATTAAATTTATTTTAATTATTTCTCTTGTAGTTGCGGATGCTAGCATGGTGGGTATAATAATAATTAGGTATTTGTTCAAGATAGGACAATATCTTAGCTCCAGTCCATTTATCAAATCAATGAACTGTAACTTAACAAATCATGCATACTTTCGATATTCTGGTCTCAGTTCGAGAGGTTTCGATTAGGAAAAATTTCCATGCGTTCTGTTTTTTTTTGGACAACACAGGAGCTGGAGCTGGATAAGTTCATAACGCACCAAGTTGCACTAAAGGACATCAAATCGGCATTCGACTTGCTGCAGCAGCGGAAGAGTCTCAGGTGCACCATATGGATGGACAAGTGACAAAGCTACAGGAGTTTGAAAGCATAGAGGTAGCTATCCAGAATTTTGGTCAAGTCTGCTGCTCATTCCAGTACAAAATAATTGGGTTTTACTGCTGCCGGAAGTCGCCCTCTCTGTGTGTACTGAATCGTAAACTTAATGTGCCGAAGTAACTTCATATATACCCCTATGTCAATCTTGATTGGTCATCACTGCCATTTGTTATGGGCATAAATAGTTATCAACGTTAATGCAATATGTCGACTCTTTCCTTCAGTTTCCTGTGGTATATCTCTTTCCGATCTATGCTTCTCTTCATCGGCGGCGGTTGTTGTTTTGGTGCTTTGGTCCTATGAAGCCTTAGCACGATGACTTTTTGATTGTCTTTTACTCATAGTTGGTCTTATTCAGTTTCAATAAATTGTTCCCGGCTCAACTCTGGTACAATGGCACATTAATTATTTGTAGTAATTTGATGCAGCTTTCCACCATCGCTTGTCACTTACCAGTCAAACGTGTGTGCTTGCATGAATTGCTTTCCATCCTTTTCTAATTTCTGAATTGATCTCCTTGGACCATACACATCCTGAGACATGTTCTTCTCGAAGCCAGAGCATTTGCTGCATGGGTGTCATCAGTTCACCGCATGTGGCAAGCTATGAGCTCCCAGGAACAAATAAATGGCAAGAATTAAAGAAGAGGGCTCGCACATGATTCAGGTAGATAATAATTTCTTTCATATGTAGAGAGCTAGGTCTTTGGTTACATCTCTTGAGAATATTTTTTACTAACACAACGACATCTTATATATCTAGCTGAGTTATTCACCTTTTGTTACTCCAGACCAAGAAAAGCAGGAATTGTAGACCACAGCAGCTAAAGCAAAAATTACACCAGCAGCAGCAGCAGCAGCTTCAGTGGTCTTGCTCAGAGACATCCCCAGGTGTTTGTACTAGAACACTGACTGTAGGAAAAACATCGCAATATATGCTCGCTGCTATCCACTGAGATTTTTTTTACTTTGGACAGCCTGATCACGGCGCCTGCATCATAAACAAACACAGCATAACTACACCGCAATGAACTTCGAGAAGAGCCATAAGATTTTACAAAATTATAGCAAGTTTTAGAATAAGAAGGAACCATGTATAATTGATCTGACATAGATTTAGCTAAAGCGCTTCAACAGAAATTGATCAACAATTGAAATCCAGTCGTATATGTATGTAATTTGAACACAATGCAGCGTATGTATGCTTTGAGAAAATGCCACCTGAACACCTCGGAATCACTCCTGCTGATGGTAATATCCTCATCAGGATCCCCTTGTAGTGCAAGTATATCATGAACGGTTGCATCAAGTGAGGTTTCTTTCGGTCGTTCCTTGAAACGTTCCAGCAAAACAACACCTAGAAAGCACAAGCATAAGCATGCTGTTCAGAAAAGAGATTACTGCACCATGCATGTGCCGGAAGATACTGAGCAAATTAAAGGCCAATATGCCTGCAAAAATAAATAAATTTAAAGGCCAATATTCAGAAGGAGCAAATGCTACAACATCCATGCACTGATGCAGATGAGGTGAGATTTGCAATAGTATTTTTGTATAATAGTATTTCTGGATCAGCAATACTGTCCTCTTCTATGAATTCATATTTTTCATTCAAATTTTGTCCCCCTGGGAGTATAAATTCAGAGGGCAGTGATTCCCCTATGACGTATTTATAATGGTACACAAACCAAATCAACAAAGAAGTAGAGACTAGTGGTTCCAACATTTTCAGGCTGACGAGCAAATCCTGCACACCATCGACCCTCGCGTCAGCAATCCAGGAACGCGAGATCAAGCGAGGAGAAGGGTTGCGCCAATTATTTGTGGGCCCAATCTGCGTCGCTGTCACGAGACCATGAGGCCCACTACGAGAAGGCCATGGCACCCAACAGATGACACCTTGGGAAGCAAAAAGTTCATAGGACAAGCATCTGCCAGGGCTGGAGATGCAGATGCCATTGAATGATGCTAAAACTGCGACTCAAGCAAAGGTGTGGGGAGCTTCTTTGCTTTGCATGCATCTTACTAATACCTTGCCTTCATGTCACAACAAAGGTAAAGAACCTCTAGCCCTCCCCGGAAGCACACCATATTCCTTCCTTCATTTCCATCATCACGAATCTGCTCTGCTATATATACAACCAAGCTCAAAGCAACAAGAAATACAATACCAGACGCCATCAAATCATTCCTGGTCAGCCACACCTGCTTAATTTCTTCCAACCACTCATCCCTCGTCAAGCATTCCATCTCTGAGGGCAGAGAGCCCGGAGAAACTAATGGCCGAGTCGGCCATTGGCTCCGTGCTTGGCAACGTGAGCACCCTTGCGGTCCAGGAGACCACATTCCTATGTGGTGTCAACCTTGAAGCGGGATTCTTGAAGGATGAGCTAAAGTGGCTAAAGAGCTACCTTAAATCCGCCGACGCCAAAAGGAGATCAGGAGATGAGCTTGTGGCTACCTGGGTCAGCCAGATCGATGCAGCATATGAGGCCGAGAATGCCATTGAAGCGGCCGACTACATGGAGAAGAGAAACAGGCTCAAGAAGGGCTTCATGGGTGCCATCTCCAGGTATGCTCGCTTGCCAAGTGACCTGATTGCTCTTCACACAATTGGTGCTGAAATACAGCGAGTAAAAAGGAAGATCAGTGAGATATTTGATAGTGCAAACCGTTTGAAAATAAATTTGGATACTAGTGATGTAGAAAAGGTTCATATTGAGGATGAGTATCCACAAGATTATGGTACTGTGCACCAAAACTTTGAAGATATTGACCTTGTTGGTTTTGGGGATGAGTACAAAGAAATAGTTGGCAAGTTAGTTGACAAAGAGGACATAACTCTTAGTGTTGTCTCCATAGTTGCCATGGGTGGGGCTGGAAAAACAACACTCGCTAGAAAAGTATACACTTCATCTAGTGTCAAACAACACTTTGAGGCAGCTTCTTGGGTCACTGTATCTCAAAAATTCAAGGGCATTGATTTACTAAAGGATATTATGAAACAAATAATGGGGGGCAGAGATGAGTCAGTTGCTAAGATGAATGGGTATGAGGTGGGAAATAAGATCCATGATTTTCTATTGCAAAAAACATACTTGGTAGTTCTTGATGATGTGTGGGAAACCAACACATGGGATCAGATAAACAAAAGGGTTAAGACTTTTCCAGATGCAACTAATGGTAGTAGAGTACTATTAACCACCCGGAAAGAAGATGTTGCAAATCACGTCCAAATGCCAACCTATGTCCATCATTTGAACAAGTTAGATGAAGAGAAAAGTTGGGAACTATTTAGTTGCAAAGCTTTACCATCATATAAGAGGTCTGTCATACGTGATGTGGACGAGTTTGAAAAACTTGGGAGAAAGCTTGCAAAGAAATGTGATGGACTGCCACTTGCACTTGCAGTTTTGGGGGGTTACCTACCTGTCAAAAAATATAAATGTACAAACATGGTCCAATATACTCTATGATTGGCCATCAACCAAGAACGGACAGATGATGCGAGACATACTGTTTCGCAGTTACAAAGACCTGCCAAATCATTATTTAAAAGCTTGTTTACTATATCTTGCTGCTTTTCCCGAGGATTATGTAATATCTGTGCCACACCTTATTCAATTATGGATAGCAGAAAGCTTCATTCCACATACACCAAAGCATATACTAGAAGAAACAGCACATAATTATGTAACCGAGTTGGCTCAAAGAAGCTTGGTACAAGTTGTTGGCAGAAGTACGGCACATGGATGGATACAGAGTATAAGGATTCATGATATTCTACATGACTGGTGCACGGAGGAAGCAAGACAAGATGGTTTTCTTAATGCCATCGACAAAACTGCAGGTCAGGCTTTGTCTCCTGATCTCTTCCTATTAATTGATTCAATTTTCTATTTTGCTATATGTACTTATATGTGGCTAGATTCTTTCTGACATATGGTGCACTCTAAAAAAATTGCAGGCCAAGCTGGTGCATCATCATCATCTGATAACTTGATATCTTATCGTTTTAGCTTTCAAACATTGAGTGATCGGATTTTACCTGGGGCGCCTAATGTCCGAAGTCTGCTTGGCTTTGAGCTTGAATCAGTGTCCCTTCCTAAGATGAGATTCCTGAGAGTTCTTTGCATTGAAGATTCAACACTAAAAGATTTCTCCAGCGTAATTGGTGGGTGCATTCACATAAGATTGCTTAGGTTGAGAAGATGTGCAGATGTGGTGCTCCCTTCTTCAATTGGAAAACTCCTTTACTTGCAGACTATAGAAGTCGAGGACACGGAGTTGAAGTCAGGGGTACCAAACTCGCTCTGGGACATCCCTAGTCTAAGGCATGTTTGCCTTTTCAGTGTGGGAAATTTTTCTCCACCACCACGTGCAAGGAGTGTGCGACTGCAGCCGAAAGAGCTACAGAGCGTTGTGTTGCATCTTGATCCTGCTGGCACTGATTTCCGCTGGAATAACATGATGATTTTCTTGGGCCAGCTGAATCAACTAACAACCTTCTCCTTGTCGATGCGCCCCAATATACCAGCGGAGGTGCTCAACATATTTGCAAACATGCCTCACCTGGTCGATATAGTAAATCTCGGCCATTTTGATGAGATCGATAAGCTGCCTGCCGAGTTCCCACAAAGCGTACGTCGTCTTGTTCTATATGCTGGTGTCATAAAACAAGACCCGATGCCGATCCTGGAGAAACTCCCCTGTCTTGTGGAGATGTACAAAGGCCAGACCATGTGCTGCTCTTCCCGAGGGTTCCCTCGGCTGCAAGAGTTAAAACTTTATAGTTTTTCCACCGAGGTGTGGAGGATGGAGGAAGGGACAATGCCAAAGCTCTCCGACCTGACACTTTGGCTGTGGGAGAAGATGAGCAAGCTCCCCGTGGGGTTGCTGCACCTTCAGTCCCTCGATCACCTGAAGCTGACCTTTATGCCCCAGATTTCTGAAGATGACATCACACTAAAGGAGCTGCGGCGGAAAGGATGCGAGGTACAGTACATACGTAGGCAGCTTAAGCTTAATTAATTTGCCCATCGGTCGATCTTGTTCCCCTTGCAATTTCTTTGCTATCTGTATCTATATCTATGCATGTCTATTTGTCCACACGTTAATTAGTTCCAAAGATTAAGGCGGTTGATCGAGATGCCATATTCGTTCCTTCATTCAACCCTTGTAGCATGTTCACTAACAATCCCAATTAATCTTTATATGCTGCTGCTCCGTAGCAAATCAATACTAGTATTATATGTAGATTGGATGAGTTAATGTTCGTTAGTTTCAGGATCAACTTCACTGCTTCCGTGCGTGTAACTAAGTTTTTTCTTCCCCGTAAAAAGAAAACTAAGTTATTTTTCTTATGACTTTTTTTTATATTTTGCGCAGGTGAAGAAATAGAGAAATCCAGCGCCCTGGAATTCTCCCCTCGAATCCATCTCTCACTCCTCCGAATCCTCACGTCTCTCCTTCTCCATCGACGGACTCTCTCCCCCAAATCCCCAATGGCCCCTCCCGATGCCAATCTCATCGCCACCCTGTTCTCCGATGCCGTCGCCAGGCCCTGTACGAGATAGATTTGTGGGGGTCTACAAGAGTGCCAATTGTCCGTGTATAAAAGTGTCAGTTAATTCTTAGTGCATGTATTCTGTGGAACATGAACACCTCATCCTTCCAACCGCATGTATTCTGTGAAATATGTATTTGAACCCCAATAAAAATGCTTCGTCGCCAAGGCGATGCTATGAGCAATGAGTTGCATGTACCTAATGTTCCTTTTTCTGATTTGTAACCTGTCTTGGCAAACTTGTATTGTGTGTATTAGTACCTAATGTTAATCTAATCTTCTTTTTTCTCATCTTTTCATGATCAGTGAACCGTGACTTGTCTCGATTGACATCCGTATAGCCAACTGTTAATTTGTGCTTGGAAATCACCCGTGCATGAATCAAATGTCCCGCATTAAATTTGTCATTGCATTTGGGACCCAATGGAAGCATTTGATTCATTGCATTTGCAACTGCAAACCGCCACCAAATAACACCGGCCTCTGGTTGCTTGGATCATGATTGAAAGCCCCATGCGCTCCTTCGATGGAGCTGCCGCTGGCAGGGGGGTCCATGGAGCTGGACCTCTCCATCCCCGACCAGTATGGCTCAAACCTGGGCTCGGTCACGTCCCCCCGGTGCGGTCGGTGGCGGAGGCTGATGCGGGCCAGATGGAGGAGCCGCTGGGAGAGGCGCGCACTCCTATCGCGGTGTCCATGGATTCGCTGCCTCTCGCCTCGCGCTCTCCATCTAAAGGTGGCCGCAGCTCCAACAAGCTCGGTGCGGTGAAGCAGCTCAAGAAGGTGGCCGTGCGCAAGGTCAGCGCGGAGGCCGGGCGTACATCGGAGCTCCAGGGCGCGCCGGCGACACCCCGGCAGGCGGTGATGGCGTTGGCTATGCCCAACCCAGCCCCGCTCGCGCAGGAGGCGTCCAAGACGGTGACTGTCCCGAAGGCCAAGTGTTCCAAGGCCGTGGTGGATGGGCAGGTGGCTCCTGTTCGGGTCAGCGCGCGGGCCAAGGGCGCCAAAGGGAACATGCCTTCGCTCCAACGCGCCCAACTCCTCCAAGCACAGAAGAATTTGGAATCCTCAGGTAATCCATTGCCCCGCTTTTCGATACTGGACTCTTTTTCGGACGAGCACCTAGGTGAGGTGTTGGTGGAAAGTGGGGTTGAACCGATGGGGAGGGCGGGGTTCGCGAGCTAGTCTCGCTGGTGCGCGCTAAAGAGTTGGCACAGGCGGCACTCGCAGCGGCGGCTGCTCAACACGCGGAGCGTCTGGCTGTCGAGGATGAGCACTCGACGTCGCTTAGGCTCCGGCCCGAAGAGGAGACAACAACATGGGTTGCTGCTCCTCCCTCGCCTTGCTGCGGCAAGGTGAGGCGCGTGGCCAAGGCAATCACCTCTAGGGGTGTGCGCCTGCGAAACCGCGTCATATAGATGCGGATGCTAATTTGGAACATCCGTGGCTTCGGCCACTCGGGACGGCGCACCCAACTTAGAGATTACATCAGGAAAGAAGGGATCGATATAGTAGGGCTCCAGGAAATCATTAAAACCAATTTTCGCCACCAAGATATCGTAGCTATAGACCCCCTGGAACGTTTTATTTGGCAGCACAGCCCGGCAAATGGTCATTCGGGTGGCATGTTGCTCGGCTTTTGCAGTGCCATTTATTAGGTGTTGTCCTGGGAGGTAGGCACCTTTTTTATTGCAGCCAATATACGCGTGAGAGCTTCGCTACGCGAGCTCGTGATCTTGCAAGTCTATGGACCAGCAGATCACTCACGCTCGGCGGAGTTTCTGGGAGAACTCGAAGCCAAGGCGCTGGCAGTAGCCGCAACCCAAATCCCGCTTCTGGTGGGTGGAGATTTCAACCTCATCCGATCGGGCGCGGACAAAAACAATGATAATATCAACTGGTCAAGAGTGGCCATGTTCAATAACGCAATTGCGTCGATGTCACTTAGGGAAGTGACAAGGATGGGGGCAAGGTACACTTGGACCAACAAGCAACTAGCCCCGACGCGATCCGTCTTGAATCGTGCTTTCATGTCTCCGGAATGGGAAGTGGTGTTTCCATTATGCTTGCTCCTTGCTGAAACAAGGATCAGCTCGGATCATGTTCCACTCATCTTATCTTCAGGGGAAGATAGGATACGTCGCAGCCCACGTTTCTTCTTCGAAAAAGCGTGGTTCGAGGTCCCTGACTTCGACAATATCTTTACGGAAAGATGGCTGAGATGTGTTCAAGCCACGGGCCAGCAGCGCGGCCCTATGGAGTTTTGGACAGTGGTCGGGGGACGCCTATGTGCAAGCCTCAAGGGATGGGGCGCGAACCAGGGGCGTGACGACAAAGTATTGAGGGCGAGACTTCTCGACGAGATAGCACTTCTCGATACTCAAGCAGACTCGCGCCCTTTCTCGGAGCAAGAATGGGCGCATCGATATGCCTTAGAAGGGCAAGTCGAGGCGTCGCTTTGATCCGAGGATGAATATTGGAGGCGTAGAGGAGGCCTTAAGTGGACGCTCAAGGGCGATGCGAACACTGGTTATTTCCACGCGTACGCGAATGGCCGACGCAGGAAATGCCTAATCCTTAGACTACAGACGGAGCAGGGGCTCCTCCTCCAGCAATCGGAGATTAGCAAACACATCTACGGCTTTTACATCAGCCTGATGGGGACTGACGAGCCTCAGCGCGCAAGGCTGCGCGAGGATGTTTGGCTCCCAGCACAAAAAGTCTTAGAGTCGGAGAACGAAGAGCTGGGGCTCGCGTTTCTCCCCAAGGAGATTGACGCTGCACTCCGAAGCATGAAAACAGACACGGCCCCGAGGCCCGACCGGTGGCCGGTGGCGATGTTTAAACACTTCTGGCCATTGTTGTGTGATTCCATCTTCGCGGTATGCAATGGCTTCATGCGTGGTTTCG